CCTGCAGGGACGGGGATGGGGAAATTTTCATCCCCATTAGTGGGAATGGGGTAGGGACGAGGAGATCACTCCCCTCCCCACAGGGACTCCAATACCCCACCCTATGAGATCTCTGCTAATATATGTATATATGTACACATGCACATATATGTATTATATCTATACATGCATCTATATATTAATATTTTTAAAAATAATATGGTTGAATATGTTTGAATCTTTTCTAATATGATTATAATTTTTAATTATTTTATTTTTATTTTTTAAATAAAATTAAAAAACAAAATGGTTGACATTATAAAAAGTTAGGGGGAGTGGGTATGGGGATAACCTTGTCCCTATTAGTGGAGATGGGGATGGGGATGGAGATTTTCATGGGGGTGGGGATGAGGAGAGGCTCCTCGTTCCCGCCCTGCCCCATCCTATTGCCATTCCTATATTGAATTGACATGTTTTGAAAATTCGGGTATTAAATTATCATGTTTTAAAGTTCAGGGATCACTATGGCACTAGGCCCAAAGTATAGGGCACTAATTAGGAATTTTCCCAATTATAAAATAGGAATGCAACTTAGATAGATTGGATTGGGCTGTTGTCAACCCTAGTCCAACCTAATGTTTTTAAACCTCAACCCTAATCTAAGCCAGCCCAATCTTGATCTTGCGGTGCTCTTGACCATATAGCCCAACTGAATAAGACTCAATGTTATTTTAATAACTACCAAAGTGAGAAAAAAAAAAGGAATCATAATTATCTTTCTTCCCTTAGGCTGTGTTTGGTTTGAAAAAATAAAAGAATATTCTTTCCATTCTTTTCCCTACCTTTTCTTTCAAATCAAACACAACCTTAATGTTTACGTTTGGATGGAATTGATCATGGTTTTCAAAATCAAACTGGAGAAAAAAATTGGGAACTGGTCTGTTTCACCCTAAAACCGTTTTTAGGCCAAAAATCATTGATTTGATCAACAGCCCGCTGAACTAAGCAGTCAAACCATTGAATCATCGACTTGGGCAACAGTTTTTGGTCCTTTACTATTTTTTAAGTCAGAATAGGCCATCTGTGCAAAACAAATGATTAAACCATTCGACCCAAGGACCAATCCCCGGAATGGTTCCCTAGCTATCTGGTCCGGTTTTAAAACCTTGAAATTGATCCCAAGGCATCAAACCATACCCAACGTGACTTATGTACTGGCTTGACATTTTTTCTATCCCTATATTTAACCTATTATTAAACCAACCTATTTCTTTTTCCGATTGGAYTGGGTTGCATTCGGTTTGACCCCATCAAATTTACACTTCAAGGTTTGGCTGAAATAAATTGAAAATGAGAACTATGATTGGTCAATTATGTTTTATGGGAATAACCAATAAAGTTAGCACCTATAGAGACTTAGGGTGCATTTGATAACTCTTTTCAGACCTTTGGTTGCTTTTCAGATGTTATGCACATTAAGAGTTCGGCTGATTATGGGTTCAAAACTACAGTTTAGATCTAAAATCGGAAGAGATCAGCTAATCTCTTAACGTGGTCAAATGCATTTCAGACCACATTTAAAGACAAAAATAGGCCTCAACAATTTTGTAAATGCTCCGCGTTGTCCCTCATTTAACTCGGCAAAAAGAGCTCACCACCATCAAGCTTTTCTCGAAGGTATGTTCTTCAACCCAAATCTCCATTTTACCTCTTGTTTTCTACTATTTTCTTTAGGCTTTGAAACTCAAGTCTACATTCTACTCCCTGTTCTTCAAATCAAATCTACTTATTTGTTTGTTTTTCTCCACTATATTTTGGGATTTTGGGATCGACCAATCTGCCTCAGCTTTGAACATCCTCCTTTGCAAGTGCGATTCCAGGAAGAGCAACTGATGTTGCTAGGATCGGCCGATAGAAGCAAATTGAATAGAGCTACCGTCGCAGTTCCCCGCCACTCTCTGTTCAATGATAAGAGGAAGAAGATGAATAGCAGATCTGGGCATTTGGAAGAAGAAGAAGAAGAAGAAGAAAAAGAAGAAGAAGGGGAAAGAGAGAGAATTTAGAGGGAGAGTAACCAGAGAGAGGAGGGGGGAATACCACCGCCCTATTCAGCCTTCGCAAAAAGAACGATGATCAACAATCCCTAAAACYGATTAATTATTTTTATTATTCATTTGTTATCTTTATTAATTTTAATTGTTACTTTTTAATTATTAATATTTAATCAGTAATTATTATTTTTAATTATTTAAGTTTTATTTATGTATATTACTAATTATTAATTATTTTTAATTTTAATTGTGTTATTTTATAATTAATAGTTATTTTAATTTTTATTAAGTATTAATTACTTTAATATTTTTTATTAGTCATCAATTATTTTTAGTAATTTTAAATGTGTTAATTATTATTTATTCATATTATTTCAATATTATTTCGAATTTCATAAATTATTTGATATGAAATAGTACAAATTGAACTCAAAATTATCAAATAATCTGTTTTAAGAGTAAAATAATAAAATCAGGGAATTTCAGATGTTGAATAGTTGATCCAATACAAACAACCTTATCTATTCAGCGCATCTAAAAAGTATAAAAACATCATAGCTCTTTTCAGATTTCAGATATTTTTAACATTTTTTTAGCTTTTCAGATTCAAGATTTTATATTTATCAAGCGCCATCTTAAAATATGTATTAGCATATGATTTCTAATTTTGATAAAATAATAACACGGTCAAGCTAGGGGTGTAAGAAAGATGGATTGGATTGCGTTTGGCCAATCCAGGCCCCACTTTAAAAATTATATCTTGGACGTAGACCCAACATATATATGACGTCCACGCCGATTTGCCAAATTCCTTAATTAGAAACTAGGCTACAAACTAGGCTACTAAGCATTGGCGGAGAAGCTCTAGTTGGTTTTTACTTGTGTTTGGCAATATTACATTTATGCATTGATAAATGACAGAAAATACATTTTCCAATGCATATTTACACTGATAATAAGATGTAAAATTACATCAATAAAAAAGAAGTAAATTTGCATTCAAGTGGACTTTTGATATAAAAGGGATAAGTACATTGTACTCCCCTTCATAAATCAGAAATGGCAGCCACCTCCTAGCCTACTAGTAGCCCCCCCATAAACCGCATCCTGCCCGTGAATTAGGCATCAATTCATGGTCAGGATTCAGTCTACTCCTAAAAATCTTAGCTCTACTATAGGGGTGGATTGAATAACAAAAACCCCTTGATAAGAAAGGCATATGTTTTATTGGAATTCATGTTTACATCCATTACAACTAAAAATCTGTTTGCTAAGAAGGTTAATTTACCGATGCAAAACTAACTCAACTTTACAATTTAAACGAACCATTTTGCACTCTACATATTTATATTCACTCTTATTTGCATCGTTTCCAAACACAGCCTAAACATCAAGTATATGTCAAAGTTGTATCAAATTATAGTGTTATATAATTGGTCATTGAGTTGAATTGAACCATGTGAACAATTGTTGGGGGTAAGGCTGGACTTGTTCAAGTATTCTAAATATATTACATTATTATTATTATTATTATTATTATTATTATTATTATTATTATTATTATTATTATTATTATTATTATTATTATTATTATTATTATTATTATGAATTGGAATGTATGTGATGCATGGACTTTGTTAAGCAAAAATTTGGAAGGGAGTCTTCTGACATACTTAATTGGACCAAATCAAATTAAATTCACCCAAGCATTATTTTGTTAATATTTATTATCACTAGATAAATTTGTTTTTTACTAATTTTTCATTATTCTTATGTTTAATTTAAATATTTAAATCAAAAGTTAGGTTGCGCTAGAATTTGAACTTACCTCTTTAAATACAATTTATTTAGAGAGAGAGAGAAAGAGAGAGAGTGACATAGAAGTTATAGGTTGGGATGGGTTCGGCTCAATTGGGTGATAGAATTCCACCTAAGCAAAAACTCTTTACACACTTTGAAAGCATCAGAGTCTAATCATACATTGAAACATTGAAAACATCTTTCCATAAATTTAACATACATGTATAAGAGACACTTCCAATGTGTGACCAGATGCTATATAAGCAGAGCTTTTACCTTGAATAGATTTGAGATCGTCGGTTTGCTAGTTTAAGTATTAGGCTTTGTCCTAATCCTAAAACTTCCAAACTATGTTTTATGTTAACGTAGGGTAATTTGGTTAAATAAATTAAGTAGGTTAGTTAAATGGTATTTTGACTATGGATACCTATAGTCAAATAGGTTAATTGAGTTAATTAGGTTAACTAAGATTCATTGACATAATTAGGATTCAGTAGGTTACTTAAGTCACTTAAAGATAATTAATTTTATGATAATACATTAGTATTTATTAAGTTGGCCGGTTAGAAATTCTGGGTTTTCCAAAATAATAGAGGGAGTGGGTGGAAACCGATTTTCACCTGCCACCTCCGACTGCGCTTGGCCGTAGCTTTGCATCTGAAGAATTTGGAGTTTTATCAGCACTCAGAGAATCAATTTAATTGGAGATGCAACCAAATGACCTCTAACCATTGAAAAATCAAAATTTGTAGGGTTCGGAGATGGATTCAACGCTACTAAATGTCGCCTTACAAGTTACAACACCAAAATGCCCTAAGATGCCCAAATTCACATGAGATTTTTCACAAAAAATCCACCATGTTGGATCCACCCAAGTTGCACCTTTATGTTATGGAAGAAAAGAATGGGTGTGGTTCAGAAAAGTACAGTTGAGGTGTAGCCGTGTAGGTATTAAGTTAGAAAGTGTTGGGAAACCATAAGTTAGAAAAGTACATTGTGGGCTCTTAACAAAGCGACTATTGAGACTATAAATTAAAGTAAAAAGTACTGTAAGTCAACTAGGAATAAGCAGGAGAAATTGCACGATGCATGTGAAGCATTATGTGTATACAATGTCAAGCCATACATGCATTCTAAGAACAATAAATAAGGTTTTCTGATACACACCTCTTACTTAAGTTGATTGAGAGAGTATGGATTAAGCAGCAGTGGTGGTTCATTTAGTTGTAATGTAAAACCACTCTCTAAACTTCTACATCCGGTTGATGGTGAACTTGTCCCCCATATACTTGATGGCTCATCCTTGATGAATTGCACCTCTTGAATGTTCCTTTGAAATTGAGTGAATCCTTCGTACCTCCTCAACCCTTCAAGTTCTGAAGCAATTTCTTTCATTGTTGGCCTTTCTTTYCCATTTAAACTCAAGCATCTCTTTGCAAGGTTGGCAACCACTTGTAACTCCTCTTTTCTACTCTCTTTTACAACTTGAGCATCAAGAATCTCAAAAAGTCAATTCTCATCCATTGAAGAAATAAAATATGTAACTAAGTTTCTCCCTTCTGTAGGTCTAGTGTAAGAAATTGGTTTCTCCCCTGTTAGTAGCTCCACAAGAACAACCCCAAAGCTATAAACATCACTCTTCTCTGTGAATTGACTTGATTGAAAATACTCAGGATCCAAGTATCCAAAAGTTCCTTGCACTATTGTTGTTAAGTGGGTTTTATCAATTGCAATTGATCTTGAAGTCCCAAAGTCTGCAACCTTAGCTCTATATTTGTCATCTAGGAAAATATTTGAAGACTTTATGTCTCTATGATATATTGGTATGGAAGCTGCTGAATGCAAGTAAGCAACTGGTCCTGCAACTTCAGTGGCAATTCTTAAGCGATTATCCCATGACAATGAAAAATCCTCATTTTTATGATGAATATTATAGAAAAGTGTTTCACCAGAGATGAATTCATAGACTAGTAGAGGAATTTCTGTCTCTAAGCAACACCCTAACAATTTAACCACATTCCTATGATTGATTTGGGAAAGGATGACTATCTCATTAATGAATTGTTCAAGTTTACTTTCATCAAGTATTTTTGATTTCTTGATTACCACAATCCTTCCATCTGATAGCATACCTTTATAAACTGTTCCCTGTCCCCCTTGACCAAGAACTCTGTTCTCATTGTATTGATCAGTTGCCTTTCCTAATTCTTCTGCCATAAAAACCTTTATTTTCTCAACATTGCCTTCTATGGATAAGATTTGTTGTTGCAATAACAAACCACCATTTCTTTTGAAGAAATTCTCTTTGCGTTCATTGATTTGTCTTTTCTTTWGTACTTGGTACAACCAATAACCAACAACAAGTATTACAACACCTATACATGTACCTGCATAAATCAATGGAAGCTAAGGAGTCACAAATTACAACAGTAAGAGGACAAATA